AAAGAGTGGTCAAGCATTGGAACAGGCTGCCCAGAGAGGTGGTGCAGTCACCATCCCTGGAGGTGTTAAAAAAAAAACCAGGCAGACATGGCACTTTGGGACATGGTTTGGTAGGCATGGTGGTGTTGTGTTGATGGTTGGACCGATGATCTTAGAGGTCCTTTCCAACCTTAATGATTCCTAGTTTTTACTTCCATTAAAAAATAATCCAGCCACCAAGCCAGGAAACATGAAATTATTACTGTACCCTTAATTGGCTTAGCGGTGGAGTTGGTAGTGTTAGGTTAATGGTTGGACTGGATGATCTTAAAGGTCTTTTCCAACCTAAACAATTCTATGATTCTATCTACACCCTATCTTTCACTGAAGTCTAGCAAAGGGAACGTTTCATTGTACTAGTGCACCTTATCGGGGGTGCCTAATTCCGTCTCAGACACATTGCTTTTGTCAGACTTCCACAAAATACCCAACCCTGCAGATCTTCTGTGGGTTTAATGTAAAGTCATAGCCACAATCAAATTATGGGAGATAACATCCATTACATATTCTATATTTAAGGGCAACACATTCCAGTTGACATTACTGGAACATCTGCTTATGTAAAGCTTCCAGAATCAAACCCAAGTTCTTCAGTCTAAGCCTACATTCATTGCAAAGAAACAGTGAAGTAAAACGATAGAAAGTGGGAATCCATAGTAAGTTGTGGGGACTGATAAAATTGGTATGTCTACTTCTTATCTAAGCAGACAGCATATTTGTCTATCATAATTTCCTGGACAGCCAGGAATTATGTCCATCGGTTGGCAAATGTTTTTACCTGAAGTAGAAGTGTTTGATTTTCTCTCTGATATCTCTCAGGACTTTCTGGTTTCTCTCCTTTTGCTGCTGGTTTTGAAGCGCTCCTTTTGGTGCCTATTGCAGAAATGTAACAGAAGTAGAAAAGGGTTTTCCAATCTACCTGCAGTACCTTTCCAAGCATGAAATACTGTATGTTCTGTCAGGCCTACAAGAACAGGAAAAAGCTTGCCACTGCTACAGTCACAAGGACTTCTAGGAGGGCTAGCTGGAAGAAAAGAGTTTCAGAACTTATGGTGATCGCAGACCTTTATCCCACACTATTACACCACAATATTTAGGCAACCTAATAATTTTCTTGGCATATATAGAAAGCAAACTTAACCAATTTTCTTAAATAAATGATGAATAGGCAGATGACACAGCTGCACAAGCATCAAGCCTGGAATTAGTTTTGAGCTTGTTAGCTAACTGCAGTCAATTTGGAAGAAGTAATTCTTTCAAAAGAGAAAATCAGTAAGCAGGCATGCAGACCCACACTGCTGTCTACACTAAAGGCAGGCAGAACCTCACACCTTGGAACAGCTGTGGCTAAGGGTGCCTGTCCAGCTGGTACCTGCATAGCTCCAGAACAGGCATTCCACGGTCATACCATCCTCTTCCTTAGCTGAGCAGATCACGGACATGAGAGCCAGCTCAGGTTATCTTAAAGATTTTGAAGGGAAGCCAAGAGTACTGCATGTATATGTATGTACACATGGATACATTTAGGGAACTTAATGGAGGTATACCAAAGTATTCACAGTAAAGAATTATTTTGGTACACTGGACACAAACACATAGAGAAACAAGTATCAATAGCCAAGCTGCTGTTAATCAGCTTGGTGTGGTACCTGTTCTAGAAGTATCATTTTGTTCGTGCGAGACTCTGGATTTAGCTGGCCTTTGCAGAACAGTAACCTATGGAAACAAGATTAGATATCTGTGCTCAACATCTGACTTCTCCAAAGTTGCAATGGTCAAGAACAAATCTTGAAGAGTAAAATGAGATATCCAAAAGAATAGCATTACCTTACTTCTACCACAATACAAGGAAGACATTCACAAATGTAATGTCCGTGTTGAAAAGTTTCCTTTATCATGGCTGAGTTTTGCCATTTCTGCCTCTATTTTTTTTCACCAAAACAACTGGAAAGTAATCCTGCCTTTTCTGGCTTCATTAGGATGAAAATCAGCACCCTCAGCAGGAAAAGGAGCATTTTGGGGACAGAGAGGAGAAGAGGAAGGTGAAGACGAAGATTATGTCATTTCCTTCTTTCATACTCCTTGCCTTAGCAAGACAGACAAACATGAAGCTTGATTTATCAGCACATTCACTCAAGCTACTGAACAAGCTTGGCATAAAAGTTAACCAATAAAACTATTGAAACAACTCAACTGTTGAACTGAAACCCACTTAGCAAAAACAGGAGGCCATGAGGGAGCAGCTTATAACCCCAATGCTTATCTTGAGGTCGATGCTATATAATAGGCTTAATTTTAGAGCTACCCTATATCAGGGAATTTTAAAGCTTCTGTGAGATTTTTGAACTGCTTGACCCCTGCAGAGCAACCACAAACAGTGCAGCATATTTCAGCCTTTTTCTGCACCTTATGCCAAGATAAATCCTATATTCCATCATAGTCTCTCTATGTCCAAATTGTTCATGATTCATGACTTTCGTAAGTAGGTTCAACTACACTGCACTTCATATGCACTGCCACTTAATCAATTTGACATAATTTCTGAAATATGTGATACAATATTGCCTAGAGGGGATGGCTCTTCTGCAGTCTCCTGCCCAGGAAACTGCTGCAGCAACCTCAACACTGCTTTATTCTTTACTGAGGCCCTAAGAGAGAGGCACTCTGAGATAGCTGATCTTCAAACGCCACACCTGGTCATTTTCTGCACTTCCTTTTTTCTTTTTCTCTGTGTGGCATTCCCTCCAACTTCTCAATGACCATTTGCTAGATGGCTTCAGACTCCTATCTGATATTTAGGAGACTGACCTGGAGGTATGTTTTGAAGGTAGAGGGGACTGATGCTAAGAGAACCTACTTCTGGTGTGCTTATTCCTACTTATCTGTCAGCAGCTATACTAAAACCTGATGTTGCTACAGAGCTACAGATCCCTCCCGCTTTGGGCTCATTTAGCAACTTTTGACTTGCAGGACAGATCTGGTCTGTGGTCAGCCTCTGGGGTACAGATCTTCATGTTACAATCAAAAGCAGATTTGTTCTACAGAAAAACAGAACTTGCCTTATGTGGAGGCTCCTTGTGAAAATATGTAACTTCTCCTTTGTCTGTTCCCACTAAAGCCAGGAGATGTTGAATTTTTTTTCTATCCTCCAATTCCCTGGAATTCAAAGAAAGTGGTCAGCACATTGCTATTTTTAAGTACATCAACATACTGTGACACACTGTCCTTCTAATTTATTTGTTAATGCTTACAAGTTTTCCAAGCTGTTGCAGATCTTGAGAATACTGCTTTAAAACCAAAGACATTACTGATGTGGCTGATATAACAAGAACACCACCAATTCCACTGGCACTGAGAAGCATTCCTCTTTTCAAATATGACAATACTACATAGGCTGATACAGCAATAGCAACATGGTGGTAAAGAATTGGCATTCCAGAGTTTTGAACTACCTAAAATCCTTTCAAATACTTCATTCGACAGATCATGTGTCCGCTGTTTTTAAAGCAAATTACATTACAGGCTGTATCAGACTTTTCATCACACCCCTGAGAAGTGCCAAAGCACACCAACACACGTTTTGACTTAAGTTCTTAGAACTTCAACAGAAAATTTGGTATTATCACCCACAAATGTTCTGAAGAAGGTTGGGTACTCCTTTACCACTGGCACCTAGTCTGGTACAGCAGGTTATATTCCAGTTCACCAACCAAATGGCATTAAAAAGCAGTAGCTGTCAACAAGATTTCATAGAGTGAGGGGAAACTATTTGCTTTGGTCTGTACTTTCTATTTGAGCTTAAGTGCTTTTAGGGCTGAGGGAGGAAGTTTTGCCAGGCAGGTGCAAGGTCTGTGTATAGGGTTTGTGTGGCAAGGTTTTGGTAGGGGAGGGACTACAGGGGTGGATTCTGTGAGAAGATGCCAGAAGCTTCCCCTGTGTCCAACAGAGCCAATGCCAGCCAGCTGCAAGATGAACCCACTGCTGGCCAAGACCAAGCCCATCAGCGACGGTGGTAGCGCCTCTGTGTATAACATATTTAAGAAGGGGGTAAAAGTTGCTGCACAACAGCAACTGCAGCTGGAGAGAGGAGTGGGAATATGTGAGAAAAACAACTCTGCAGACACCAGGGTCAGTGAAGGAGGAGGGGAGGAGGTCCCTGCAGCCCATGGAGGTCCATGGTGGAGCAGATACCCACCTGCAGCCTGGGGAGGACCCTACGCCAGAACAGGCTGATGTGCCCAAAGGACGCTGTGACCCCATCGGAAGCCCACACTGGAGCAGGCTCCTGGCAGGACCCATGGAGAGAGAGAGGACCCCACGCTGGAGCAGGTTTGCTGGCAGCGCTTGTGACCCTGTGGGGGACCCAGGCTGGAGCAGTCTGCTCCTGAAGGACTTCCCATGGAAGGGACCCACGTTGGAGCAGTTCATGAAGAACTGCAGCTTGTGGGAAGGACTCATGTTGGGAGAAGTTCATGGAGGACTGTCTCCCGTGGGAGGGACCCCATGCTGGAGCAGGGGAAGAGAGCAAGGAGGAGGGAGTGGCAAAGACAACATGTGATGAACTGACTGCAACCTCCATTCCCCATCCCCCTGTGCTGCTCAGGAGGAGGAGGTAGAGAAATCAGGAGTGAAGTTGAGCCTGGGAAGAAGGGAGGGGCGGGGGGAAGGTGTTTTAAGACGTAGTTTTTATTTCTCATTATTCTACTCTGATTTGACTGGTAATAAATTAATTTCCCCCAGTCACATCTGTTTTGCCCGTGATGGTAATTGCCGAGTGACCTCTCCCTGTCCTTATCTCAACCCATGAGTCTTTTGTCATATTTTTTCTTCCCCTGTTCAGCTGAGGACGGGAGTGATAGAACAGCTTTGGTGGGCACCTGGCATCCAGCCAGGGTCAACACATCACAGTCTGCTTAAATCAGAAGCTCCACATTCAAACTGGCAACTCACAAATCAAATCTAGATCTATGTTCAACTTCTGCTCTTCCTTCTACTACCAGAATAGGAGGAATAATAAGTGGAAACATATTTAGCAGCCCAACAGATTGCATTCCACCTCTGAGATTGGTACGATTTCATAGGAGCCCTCCCTAGGAAGTGTGGCATTGCTCCTCTGAAGACTCCAGATCTGGATGAGAACTAGAACATAATGCATGCAATTGCTACTGCCAGTGACCCAGCCCACCATTTAAGACAGCACACCTGATTTTCAGCCGGTCATTCTCTGAGTAAAGACGAAGGACATGTTCCCTCTCCTGGAAGAGGTAGACTTGCATATCACTCAAAGCCTTTTGCAATTCTGCAATCTCCTCTTCTCGCTGACGTACTTCCCATTGCAATTTGTGCTAGGTAGAGAGAATGAGATACTTGAAATGATACAGAGCATTGGGCAACACTTACAAACTTCAAACTGCTTGCACCCTGAGCCTGTAACTGGTATAGAACAACTGCCAGTTCAAGTGAATTATTGTATTATCTTACAAAATTTGCCCAGATGAGGGCAGTATTGGAAAAATTATTGAAAAATGTTTCAACAGGGGGTTCAGAGCCCTGAGAATCATTGTCACTATACAACAGTCAAATAAGGCCTAAGCTAGGGTGTCCAGTTTCCAGTGGTTGCACTTCTGCACTGGCAGAGCAGCACAGGTATGGGGAGTCGGACATCAACAAAAACCTAACAAAGCCTCTGTAATGGCACTTTTAAAAGAAATTACTGAAAAAGAAACATTAAGATATGCATATGGCTTAGTAGTGAGAAACCTGGCTAGTTACTAAGTTTCATTAATGATTTTCTACCTGGTGTGGAAAACTGAGAAACCTTGCAGAAAACCATTTCTGTGGGAGAAAAGGCACTATTTTGGAACCTGCCCCTCCTTTTTCCGTATGTTGAATGAAAATAACTTGTACACCACATATTTCCCGAGGGCTTTCAGGCTGATTCAAGCATGGCCAGTACTTGAGGAGGCACCTCAGAAGTGATCGTTCTATTCCCGAAGGCTCATTCACAATTACAAAGATGACTGCTAGACAGATGTATGCTGTAAGGCATATCAGAGCACTGAATATCTTACAGATACTCTCTAAGATTCCTTCCTTTTAAAAGGCAAAGATTTTTAGGTTTTGGAGTTTCTTTTGAATTCGCATTTATTTGCTGTGTATTATACTGCTTAATAGCCTATGGCCCAGTTTATGAATTCCATTGCAGTAGATGCAAATTATACCTGTATCTCAAAGCCCATTAAATTTGGACAAAAAAGCACTCATTCTTCACTATGAGAAACAAGGGAAAGAAGTTGGACAACATGGGAACTGAACATCTAAACTCAGGCTTTAATTTTAAAAAACAGGAAGAAACAACACACTGTGAAGATATAACCAAACTATAATAACTTAAGAATAGAAGAATATCCTACAGGCATGTTTCTGTTTGTTTTGACAGAGGACAGACAGCTAGATTTTACAATCAAATATTGAAATCTACTTATTTCATCTTAGCTCAGTTCTACCACATTACTGGTAAATCTTAAGATGACCTGTGCTGAGTTTTCAACTGAAGAAACATACTAAGTTTGTGTAAGGATACATAGTCCATCATCATTCAAAACCTCTTTTCCTAACCTGCTCATCATATGTTTCTTTGTATCTCTCCAGCCTTTTTACCAAATCCTCATGTTCCTCATCAAAGTCAGCAATCTTCTTGCGGTAGTATTCCAGCAGCTCCCGGGAGGGACGGAGAAAGGCCAAGCGCTCATTGATTGAAGGGAGAGGAGTAAAGTCCTCCTGACTCGGAGACTGAGAACTAGCATATCTGGATGAGACATGGGGGGTTGCCAGCCTGGACAGAAACAGTTTCTAATGACATGTAAGCTTCAGACAATAAAATAAAAACTTTCTAAAATAGTTAAAAATAGATTTTCAATTTTAACACAGGTTCAATTTCAAAGACAGATTAGCTTGTCTGTGCTCTGGGTGTTAACAGGAGATCACTGCATTTAGGATAACCAAAAGCTTTGACATAGAACAGCTTGCAGGCTTACTGTACTGTGGAGATAGGGCCAACTGATGGAAAAGGGAGAAAGAAAAACGTTATGGAAGGAAAGTCTCATAGGTTATTTGGCGAGGGTGAACGTGAAAGGAGGAAGAAAGAAAAGGAGACGAGAACAAAGGGGACAAAAAGTCCATTGTGCAATTAGAAGAAGCAGCCAGCACTGTAAGATAAACAGGAATACATAATGTGTGGCACAATCACTAGCTGATATCCACAGAGAAAAACACTTTCTAAAGACTGTCGAATAACAACAATAACACTGGTTAGCTAATGCACCAGCCACCATAATTTAAGGTGTATGTCTAGGAATCTACATGCTTTCCTTTCTGGTGTACTTGATGTTCTTATCCATATAGCTTGTCCACACTTCATAGCGAAATGGAAACTTCCAAGTTCTTGAATCTTATATTGAGGTACTAGATGGAAAGCACATCAATATTACATAAATCAGATCAAGAATAGGCATGTGTGATTACATCTCTGGTTTTTCTTTTAAGCAATGCTTACTGCATTAAAATATTTAAACTGGTCAAACAAGCACCAAATTTGCAAGTAGAGCTGCACAGGGTTCAAAATTCTCTTGGAAAGCATTCTTTTTGTCATTTATGTTGCTCTGACAAACACTTTTTTTTTTAATGGTACCATGAGTAACAGAATTAAAGCCAAGAAGCTTCTTTACTAAAGATCTGCTTAATAAAAACACAGTCCAGAATCTGATTCTGGAGCCAGTGCCAGATCTTTGATCATAAAGTGATCTGGCAGGTGACACTTGAGGCAGCAGCGACCTTTATGGACCAGCTCACCAAATCTCCTTAGATCAGAACCCCAATGTGCGAGATCCACGAAAACGTGCCAACTCCTGGCACTGTATAAAAGTATGAAATATGCAATAATACGACTATTTCATGTAGGAACTTTCCCACCAGCTGTGCTCAGAAATGCCTTAAATAACATATTTGGAAAAATAAGTAACAGCAACAGAAGAAAAGAGGTAACATAGGCACAAGGTGAATACTTTATTACTGAGCTACAGAACAGTAGAAAAGGAAAAGCGTAAGGAAGGGCAGCAGGTACAAGAAGGGACAAAACGGTGCCTTACGTTAAGCTACCGGACAGAAAGGGAAGGGCTCCGGGGCCAGAGCCCGCAGAGCAGTTTCGGCGCGGGCTGACTAGGGAGGCAGCCCCCACACTACCTTCTGGAGCGAGGGGAGGTCCCCGG